ATGCTTCTTTCTCATTCTGCTCCTTCTTCGCTTTAATTTTCACCTTTCTGGCATCTCTGTCAGCTTCCCTCTACAATAAAAAAAATACACTAAACACAGGAGCAAACACAGCAAAGAAAATTGGAACATTATAAACAAAAAAAGTGCACAGTTGGGTAGCGTGAGAATATAAGAAGTAAAAATGCAAATAATAAGATGGTAATGTTCAATTACAAACAAATAAAATGAAAAGTTTAATTGTAACAACTTGAATTTAATATTAATAGATTTATATTATGATCACTAATTCTGTAAATCCTTAAACCTTAAAAGATTTAAAGGAATAGTTCACCCAAAAATGATAATTTACCTAAATTTTACTCACCCTCAGGCCATCTTACATTTTTGCTTTACTGGAACAGATTTGAAGAAATTTTGATCTATATCACTTACCCCACCAATGGATCCTCTGCAGTGAATGGGTGCCGTCAGAAAGAGTTCAAAGAGGTGATAAAAGCATCACAATAACTAAAAAGTAATCCACACAACTCCAGTCCATCAATTAATGTCTTGTAAAGTAAAAAGCTGTGTTTGCAATAAACAAATCTATCCTTGAGAAGTTTTTAATTTCAAACCATTTCTTCTGTGAATATATATATATATATATATATATATATATATATATATATATATACACACACACATTATATCCATAATATTGCATTCTTCAGTGAAAAAGTTGGAGAGAAATAAACAAAACGAAACAAAACAGTTCTATACAAATACGTCGGTGGATTTTGGTATGAGAGGATAACAGGGGATGGACTTTTTCACTGGAGGAAGTGTTATTATGGATTATGAACTGATAGGTTGGCCAGAAGTTACGGTTTAAAGTTAAAACTCCTTAGTTATGGATTTGTTTTTCTTTTTACAAACACACACTTCGCAAGACTGATGCACTGTGGTGTGGATCATGTGTGTCTTATTGTGATGTTTTTATCAGCAGTTTGGACTCATTCTGACGGCACCCATTCACTGGATCAACTGGTGGATGTAATGCTAAATTTCTCCAAACATCTTCTGATGAGGAAACAAACTCATCTACATCTTGGCATATTCTCAGCTAATTTTCATTTTTTTTCTTCCTGTCAGGACTTTCTACCTTCTGTTTATCTGCTGTGGCTCTCAGCTCCTGTAGTTTCTTGTCGGTGGGAATCAGCCTGAGACCTTCATCACACCATTGCGATGCTCCTGCATAATTACACAGCTCCATTGAGCACTGTGCACCTAAATACACAAAAATTATACATATGTACTTTGAACAATTATTTTCTGTACACAAAACAATTGCTTTCGTGAAGCAACTAAGAACTATAGACACAACTCACCTCTGATTATAGCTTTAATGTGGTCTGGCTTCAGTTTCTTTGCAGCTGTGGCATCATTCAAAGCCGAACGCATATTTCCTGGAGGAAAAGATAATTGCATATACGAAAGAGGAAAAACTTAATTATGATGACACATTTGCAAGGCAAAATCTAACTTTATAACATAGACCTGTGTGAGTGTGTTTGGGGGAATACTGACTGTACCTAAATGGAAATGTGCAGCTGCACGGTTGGTGTAAAAAATTGCATTGAGTTCAATATCCATGCAGTTCTTTTTCAATCCTTCTGTGTAAGACACTATAGCTTTCTTATAATTCTTCTCCTTAAAGTACTCATTCCCCTCATCCTTTAGACTTCTGGCTTTCTCTGAGGAAAAAGAAAAAAGGTTCAGTTGCAATGTATTCAATTGTCATTTAAAGGAGGTACACTGACTGCTTACATGAAGAAACAATCAATACAAAGAGAAAGTAAGAAATACAGAGCTTCGCACACCTTCAGGTGTTCTGTGATCATCATGGATAATAGACTGAATGCAGGCGAGATCAGGGTGTTTCTCTGGGTCAATGTTTTCTGGGGCTGTCTTCATAAACATGGGCACCTTATCAAACTCCTGCAAGATTTAAAACTAGTATTTATATATAATAACAAGCTGTGACAGTCAAATGCAATGTTATAGCACACTGCTTGAACTTCAGTAACGTCATGTTCAACAGTAGTGACATATTGTAACCAGTGTAGTTTACTAATGTGACAGTTCTTACCTCCTCCCAGTTGCTTTCACTAAACGCATTTTTGTATTTCTGTGTTTTAAACTTCTCCATAAATTCATCCATGTTATCGTCACTGTCTTCGCCTTGCGCTAGTGCAGCCATCGTTTTACTTATTAAACGAATTCTGTGCTATATTCCACTTAAACAAATGTGGTACTGGATGTATATTAATTCGTCACAGTGTTCAAAGAGTATCCGCTATTAGGAACTAAACATAAAACTTCAAATTGCGATAAAACTGTGAATAAATTATAGCAAAGAGGCCTCAGCAAGCAAGATGTTCCTGTGCTGCTTGACACACACACACATCAGAGACGCATTACCGCCACCAGCTGGTCTGGAGTAAAACAAAAAACAGTTTTCTGTCTTCTTCTTCTTGTTAGTTTTATGGCGGATCGCAACCATGACTTATCAGGTGCATACCGCCACCTACTGTATCGGAGTATGCAGCATGGATTATATCTCAATGAATGCACTTTCCTGTTTTCTGTCAATGATACCAAGAAGGATATCTTATAACGTCAAGTGTCATATTGTATCAAATATTTAATTGACCACGTATTTAAATCAAGGTTGCATCATTTATTTATCTTAGAAAGGCATGAAATATTGGCCTCTGCACCAAAAGTACACCAAGAGTTATAATGACATAACTCTCCCACATAAAAATGAAAACTTCTCTCACAAAAATAATGAAGGTAATGGAAATATTAGCAAAATGCCCTGTCAAAATGAATCATTTGAGAACTTTTTTTTTTTTACATGGCCATTTTTAAGTGCATACTGATTATTCCTGCTTCATAATTAATGCTGTTCAGTTGCTTTGACACAATCTGTATTGTTAAAAGCGCTATATAAATAAAGGTGACTTGACTTGACTTGATTGGAAAATCAGTGCCATCTGTGATGACGTATTAAATATGCTTATTAGCATAAGATTTAAATTACACTAAATTATACTTAGTGAATCTTGGTGGCTCTATTATGACAAGAACAAAATGACAAAAATATAACAAACAGACCCATTTTATTATCAATATTTCCTTGTTATAACATTACAGAGATTTCTACATCACATACTTTTATTACAGACACAAGCAATGCTTGAACTCTCTTGAACACTTAGCCTGTAAAATGTACGCAAAAATTTTATAAAACAATATTAGATTAGATAGTTTCAACTTTACTTAAAAGATCCACTAGCCCCTGTTTACTAAGGAACATGGTCTCTCCACTCTGCTGACAAATCACCTCAAAGCTGGGCAGATCCTCTAGAGCTTTCTGTCCTACCACCACCACATATGGATACCCTAAAATTTTAGCATCCTTCAGTCGTTTACCAATGGTCATCTGAACCCTGTCATCCAGTACCACCTCTCCTCTCAAGTTTGGTATACTGTTTCCCAAGCTTTGAGTCAGTTCCTCAGCCACTTGTGTGGCTTCATTTGCTTTGCTGCCCTTTTTAGGTGGCAGGACACAGACTTGATAAGGAGCGATCAACCCAGGCCAGCAAATAGCATTCTCGGATGACATCACCTCTATGGAAGCAGCAAGTATTCGAGTGACGCCAAGTCCAAAACACCCCATCTCAGCCACTTCAGGCACACTGGATGCATTAACGAACAAGGCCTTAAACGCCTGTGAATATTTTGTGCCGAGGTAAAAAGTGTGCCCCACTTCGATGCCTTTGGATTCAGTCAGTGTGCCCCTTTGGCACTGTGAGCACTCAGTCTGCCCTGGTTCCATGGTTTCAATGTTGGCAGAGAAGCCACAGTTTCCACAAACAAGTAACTGGTCTTCGCCAATGTCTGCTGGCAGCTGAAACTCATGGGAAAGTGTGCCTCCTATGTTGCCGGTGGCAGCCTGTACCTGCACCCACTTCAAGCCCAGTCGGTCAAATATCCGTCCATAAGATTGACACACAGAGTGGTATGTATGAAGAGCTGCCTCTTCATCAATGTCAAATGAATACATGTCTTTCATGTAAAATTCCCGGCCACGTAGGAGCCCAAACTTTGGCTTCTGTTCATCACGGAACTTGCGTGTTACCTGCAAGACATAACCATGTTATTTACTTACATACATAACAGACTTACATGAAAGCATCTCTAAAACAGTAGTTAGGGCTTGACAATAAGAAAGACACTTTTGGGCTTGACAATAAGGAAGACACGATTGGGCCATTGCCGCATTGTCACAAAAGTTTACACAGACACCCAGTCATCCAGACAGCATGCCAATACCGAATTGAGTTGCGCTTGAATGGACAAATACACACTAAATTTTTGTCAAAATGCCCATCTTGGCAAGTATCCTCGCAAACACAGTTGGTTATGTCTTAAGTTAATTTAAACAACTGAAAAAGAAAATGAATGTATATTATAGCAGGTCTTCAAACAACAAAAGGCAGAAAATCACTCACTTGCTCTGGCAAAAATAATTTTTAACTTTCATAAGGATTACTCCATTTAATTTATTGAGTCAAGAACTATGCAATATTTTTTATTTATTTAAAGGGCTCATATGATGCGATTTCAATTTTTCCTTTCTCTTTGGAGTGTTACAAGCTCTTGGTGCATAAAGAAGATCTGTAAAGTTGCAAAGACTAAAGTCTCAAATCCAAAGAGATATTCTTTATAAAAGTTAAGAGTCAACCACGCCTACCTAGTGTTTCGTAGTGAAAGCGAAACTACTTTGTTTGGCCTTCCAAAAGAGGACAATATTCGCTTTGTCATGCCTGGAGCTGATCCGTGCTGGTTGAGGCAACAAATGCCTCGTTTATAATGGGTTTTAATGTTTTTGTCCCGTAGCTCCGGCCGAACAGGGCATCACAGTATGGTAAGGGACATAACATTTCCATCTCACGCTTGAGGTATTCGGCCAATCACAACGCACTGGATAGCTGGCCAATCACAGTACACCTCGCTTTTCAGACCGATGAGCTTTGTAACAATCGACACGTTTCAGAAAGGCGGGGCATAGAGGAGAAACAATAATGTACAGTATGTGGAAAATAATGTGTTTTTTTAACTTTAAACCACATAAACACATTTCATTACACCAAATACACAAAATACTGTTCTTTTTAGCAGCATCATATGACCCCTTTAACATTCTGGGTGGACTATGAAGGGAGCTCTGCACTGTAAAAGTTTTATTTCATAAGAGCAGAATAATTCTGTTTTCCAAGTTATGCCCCCTTTAACAGGCTTGGGTACAAAATTTAACCTTAAACCTGATAAACACATTTCATTACACCAAATACACAAAATAACATTCTTTTTAGCAACATCATATGACCCCTTTAATTGCTTAGGAATTCTGTACCTGATTACTATTGTCTGACCTACTTGAGACACTTAAATGATTTTTTCCCCTCCATTTGTATCTTGGTTCTACAGTCTTTATTTGTGCTATTGCTCGGAATTTGTTTATTTGTTTTTACTTTATTACTGACTGTTTACTTGTTTTTATTAGTTTTTATTAACTTAATATTAGTTAGGTTTGTAGTTTTTTTGGAATTGAGATTAGTGAAGTTTAATGGTATCTAAAATGTTGGTGTCATAACATTATTTATTAGAATATAAGGTTACATGGGTCAAAAAACAACAAAAACAATAGACCTAACTATTTTTTCATTCATTCGTTCACTCATTCATTTTATTTAAATTTTATTTTGTAATTTTATTTTATTGCCAGTGACAATTTTGGCTAGGCAAGTAAAAATTTAAACTTAAATCTGAAAAATTCTTAGCGTTGAGCCCTATTTAAAAAAAAATTCATTAGAGAAGATACCTGGTACAGCAGAAGTGGCAGCTTCTTGTAAGATATCGTCGTCTGGGAAGCAAAAAGCTCTGTGACTGCTTCTTCATGAGTTGGCCCGAGGCAATATTCAGCATTGTGCCGATCCAGTAACCTGAACATCTCTTTCCCCAAAAGCTCCCAGCGGCCACTCTTCTTCCAGAGTTCTGCACTGCACAGTGCCGGCATGTCAACTTTCTGCCCACCGATCGCATGCATCTCTTCATCAATGAGCCGAACCAGCTTCTCCATGGACCTCAGAGCGACCGGTAAGTAATAGAAGCAGCCAGGGTTGGAGGGATGGATAAGCCCTGTCTGCAGCATCAGTCTCTGGCTGCGGCATGTCAAGTCTCCTCCCTCCTGACCCTCCCGGAAGTTGGACGGCTGGAAGAGGCGAGACACAAGTGGTGGTGGGATGGTTGGTTTGGAAGGGATAGAGACAAGGGGAGAAGTGTGGATGGCACATTTGATGTGGCTTCTTTTTAATGCTTTGAAGAGCGTCCTGGACAGGAGGGCTGGGAGCTTGCGATAACAGTGATGCATAAACACCATTTTTTTGACAGCTTAAATTCTGTGAGACTTTTAATGAAGAAACAAACAGAGAACACCATGAACAAACAAAGGTATAGTTTACAGTGGACAATCGATTATTCCACACAGAGTATGCACCTGCAGAAAAACATATGGAGAAATAAAATGTCTATTATTCATAAAATATACGAGTTTTTTACACTGTATAAACATTTCAAAGATATAGTCAAAAAATTTTAATATTTATCTACTATATGCTTTGCTGATTCGTAAAAAATGTGGAATACTAAGGTATCTTCGTGCATTTACGTAATATTAAAAAAAATAGCTTATATTTAAATACGTTTATATGAGAGAGAGAGACTTATAGTTATGAAATATTCTTTATATTTTAATCATTGTCACTGAGTATGTTAACATGCCAAAAAGAACACTCTGCTGTACATTTTAGGCAAAACAACTACAAACAAATGTATTCAAAACTCCAACTTCAGAATTTGATACTTTTGCTCTGATTTACCTGCTGTCAACATGCGACGACTGGCTAGAAGCGAGCAGACATGCACATTGTATCACAGAACAAACGACAAAATGTCAAACTTACCGTGTTTTGTGTCCTGCTTATATCTATAAACTCGTGTCAGATCAATCTGAGATCATGAATTGGAAACTGATGATTGTACACATCAATAAAAACACTAAACTAAAATTCTCCATATGACAGAATGATGACCTTCTTCTTCTGGTAAATCGCGCAGCGTACAAGTGCAGCACACCGCCGCCTGCTGCATGGAAGTCGAAAAGCGCACTGTAATGGTCTAGTAGGAGGAGTCTGTTTCTATGGAAATTTCAAACAAGAAGCCTCAGCACCGGTTTGTTGTCCTGCATGTAACTTCAAACCATCAAGCTAACCGCTTCTGTATTATTTTTCGCTCTTAAAAGTGTGAAACATGTCTAACACAACAGTCAAACAGAAGAGAACCGCTC